TGTTTTTGCGCTTGTGAGTACCAATCTTCTTTCCCGACGTTATCCCTTTCCATCAACACGTTTCGTAGATTTTACGACAAAAAACTCAGGCTCCTTCTTTATCTGCAGTTTTCACTCTTCGATAACTTTGGCATATCGAAACGGTGTTCTGGGGCTTATGTGTGACATATGTCTGTCGCGGGCTTACTGTCCTTTTCTCAATGAGTTCATTTTTACTCTCTATCGTTAGTCTTGCTCAAAACTGTCCGGCTGTCCACTTTTCTGAGAAGCTGTCCGTTTTGCCGATGTGTAATCTCCACTGTTACTTTTGATGATGACGTACATCAGCTACGTCGTGTTGTTTCGCTTTTTGGAGAGGTACTTGCTAGATAAATATATGCTGGACAATAATGGTTAAAATATAACCAAAAATAAGTCAGTTTCCCATTTTATGGTATGAACGAACGGATCCTTACATTCGTATCCTTCACACATATTTCATTATTCAGTGCACGGATTTCAGGAAGGTTTCATGAAGGTCATTCTGAGGACCGACTGTTCGAACAACCGCACGGTATGTTGTCAGAGCGTGGGCGGTGACACGACGGCGCATGTCTACGATCAATAGTGGAGTAAAGTTGTGGACCTTTGGCTTTTGAATATGGCCCTTCGACTTTGACCCTTCTACGTGCCTGCAACGAAGGCTGTTTCTTTCCTGGAAGGCGTCATCTTCTAATTCTGTTCGGATGGTGAAATGCTCCATGACACTGAGCTGTTAAACGATGTTGTACCATAGCATAAGCTGCAGCTTTAGGGGAGCAACTAGAGAATAGCGATTGCTGAAGAAAACGGCTCCTAAAGCATACTGTGCCATTACCTCTGAGGATAAGCTACCACCCGCGAGGAGCGGCTGTTGTTACGAGGCTATTCGAACTGCCGAATATGTTCAATTGCTTCAGGGTTTCACAGTGTAAACCGATTTCATCTGGTAATAAGCCTTCAGTTTAAATTCTTGAGCGACGTCTGAAGTTTGTGTCCATGTTTCGAACTGTTTTGCACGGATTTCTTCTAACCACCTCAGAAAGTGGGGTCGAAGCCAATAGATTCATAAGATACGGTTTTGTTGTGTGTGATTTCGTGTCGTTCAACCAGGTGACAAGAAGCAACTCTTTATTGACAAGGTCTCAGCCCCCAGACTCTCTTATTGTAAACGAAAAATCGTAATATTTTGCCATTCATCCTGCAAGGGATAGAAGACGAACCAAGAAGAAAGTTTTTTCCCGCCGCAGGATGACGTCAGCACATCTAGGTCGAAAAATATGTTTCTATAAAATTAGAAAACTTAGATTACAGTCATGGCGCTATCAGCACAATACACCTCTGCAAAAAACGATACAACAAGCAATATATAGCAAAAAACCGTTTTCAACCTCAAAGACTATTTACAATAAATTTCGTCTGCTTGTCAGTCTCTGTGAGTGCTCTTGAGGTAAAGGGTAAGATTGATTGGGGACGTAATTTCGCGTGGCTCCTGAGGGCGTTGATTGTGCTTCAAGTTCCGGATGTGCCAAGATAGTTTTCCGGAACTTTCAGCAGCGACTGACCTAACTATTCGGTTCCACGGTTGACGCGACCCTCTCAATAATTTTGACGAGTTTCATTTTTATGACGCGAGATATTAGTGGGACAGTTCGGCGTAAGATGCCGTAGTCTTTTCTACAGACCAGCAGAGGGGACCTTTGGCAGCAGACAGCCGAACACCGAAAGGTGAACTCTTCGCGCTCGCTGATGGTAATGTCAGTCTCAACAGCCTGAGCATGTAATATTTTCCCTGTCGCATTTTGGTAAACACCAGAGTAACCTGACCAGAACCTGTGCGCAACAACAGAAGAACCGGTATCAGTCTTTTCAAATTAATCATGCAGTGAACCGGCGTTTTCATGTTAAAACGTCCATTAATTCAGAGCGAATGTTAGTCATCAGCTGAAGGTACAAGAATATGTCGAAATAGTTATGGCTTAAAATGCTTAAATTTATTTTTTAATTAAAAGTATCATGAATTAAATACGTAGTCCGA